CGGTCCCCAACCACACACAGTTTTCCGCAGTCCCCAGCCCCGCACAGAAGCATCATGGGCCTGCACGCAGAGTGGGTGATGTGTGGTGCGCAGGGGCGCCTGCCGCCGTTTTGCAGGGTGATTGCTCCTCTCTCCCCTTGCAGCTTCACAACATGTCCCACTGACTCTCTTGCTTCTGTGAGTCGACAATGTCATTCTAATGGGCGTCTGGTGGATTGGGGATGAGGCAAACTTGGGAGTCAGAAAGCCTGGGTTTGAGTTAAAATTTACAATCTGGGGGCCGTGCCCCAGACAGGAGGCTCTGAACACTGCCTTATTTTTTCAGTTCCCTTTCCACAGTGAGAATGGGGCAGATAGTGTATTTGAAAATATCCAATAAATATCTGGGACATGCTAGGAACTGAACAAAAATTAGTTGAATCTAAATATGGCTGATGGGAAGACACAGAAACCAAAGCAAACCCCATCAGCCAGCCAGTAGCTTTTGGCTTATTATGCAAAAGGGAAATGCCAGGATTTCTTTTGCCAAAGGAAAGCTGAAATATAAACCTGCTGTATAGTCCTCAAATAAACCCGGAGCTTTCCCACAGGATCTAAAAGGTTTTACGGGGTTTGAAAATTCAGCACGACCATTTTACCTTCTTGATGCTCATCATCAAGAAGAGATTTCAGAAAACCTGACATCGTCTCTTTGACCTGTTTTCTTGAAGCAGCCCTGTGAGCACAGCCCGGCTCCAGCATGGTGCTGCAGGAATGTTCCCAGGGCAGAAGCCATCCACGTGCTCTTGAGCAGATACGTGACAACGTCCTGCAATGTGGGGATGCCTCTATTGAAATGTTAGGATGCACAGGCTTCTCTCCACCAAGAGCTCCGAAGTTCAAGGTTGGAAACATGTAATAAAACGTGGATTATAAGTGTCAGACCCAGAGAGAATACAGGTGGGCACACACGCACAAGGTGGCAGGAACTAGCAATAAACGCATGAGCCAAGTAGGTAAGAGTAAAATCAGGAACCGGCGTTCTGGACGGAGTCCGTGTGGGGTGGGCTTGCATTCCGGGGCTTTGTAATTCCTCCTCGTGAGGTTGCCAGAGTGAGGGCAGGGCATTGAGCAGAGCCAGGGGCACATTGTGCACACGGCGACTCCAGGCAGATGACTTGCACGAGGGCAGGCGCGCACGGTCATTACCTGAGCCCCTCAGCGCCCATTTCAGCGCATGACATCCCAGGTCACCGTCGTGGGTAGCGTTTGTTCAGTTCAATTTTGAAGTTGTTTTTTAGAAAGGCAGACATAAACATCAAGAATGCAAACACGGAAAAAACATTTTAAAATCAAGGTTAATGAGTACATACCCTTTTCCAGATGGAATAGACCCAATGAAATTATAAAGCAAATTCCCTAATCTTGATATATGTTGAAAAGGATAATGGGTTAATTTGATCTTCGGTGGCTTTGATTTTCATGCTATCTCTCAGCCCTCAGTGTTAAGGCTCAGCTGGCCGAGTAGGGGGCTTGGAGCGAGGACCCCAACCACAATTCGGTGGACCTTGCATCGCTCCCTAAGATGCATCCCTGACACACGTGTGAGGGCTGTGGATTCTGAGGAGCGGCTCCACGTAAGTGGACTGCGAGCGGTGCAGGCAAGGGTCCCCTGGGGGGTCTTGGGCTGGGTGGGGTGCAGGCCTCGGGGGGTCTGCTTTATTCTTCTCTGTTCAGGCTCCTCCACGGCCGTCTGGGTGCAGTGAGGGGGGGCTCTGCTGGCTCACGGTGCTCATTCAGCTGTCAAAAAAAGCATAATTCATTTCAGGGCAAAACTCCTGCCTGGGACAAATGGCTTCATTATAATCCAAAAGCAGTGTCAGGAAAACATAAAATTGTGCAGATGGAAGCAAACGGAGCCAGTGCTTCCTGGTCCTTCCTCAGGAGGGCGGGACCTCTTCCTGCTCCTTCCTCAGGGGGGCGGGGCCTCTTCCTGCTCCTTCCTCAGGAAGGCAAGACCACCTCTTGGTCCTTCAGGAGGATGGGATGTTTCCTGTTCCTTCCTCAGGAGGGCGGGACCTCTTCCAG